AGGGGCGTCAAAGAACGATGACGATTCACCACGCCCAAGGCAGCCAGCCCTCCCAGTCCGCCCACTGGCTACCAAGGCTCCGGCAAGGAAGGCCGCGAGCCCCGGGACAACGGCCGCCAGGCCGGCGGGACCGCCCAGCCCACGGACCGCGGGCAGGCCCTCACGCAGCGCCTCACGGCGACGAGACGCCAGCAACAGCGGGATCGCGAGACCACTCCCGCCGCCAGTGTGCAACCGTCCCATCATCGAGCCAACCGGTTGGCGCACTCCCTCCTGCAGTTACAGGCAGGAGCAACCAGCAGCAGAGATTGACGGGCCCCAACCGAGCGCCAGAGACCTGGAGCGGCCTGCAGCAGGGCCTCCGACCCTGCAGGCGCTGTGGGCAGCCCACCCTGCCAGCCTCCGAGCCTCTTTCGGCGCTCCACGGGAGGCACACCAGTACTAGCCCCCCTCCCCTCCCCTCCTCCTCCTCCTCCTCCTCCTCCTCCTCCTCCTCCTCCTCCTCCTCCTCCTCCTCCTCCTCCTCCTCCTCCTCCTCCTCCTCCTCCCCCCCTCCATCTGACGACCTGCGCCGTGCGCACTGCGCTGATCGCTCTGTGTCCGCCGACGGGGGTCCTGGCGGACCTGGACCCCCAGGGTGGCCCCCACGGATCACGAGCACGGTTGGCACCTGCACCGTCGGTCGCTCTCCCTGGGCCGCTGCGGGGGGCGGCCCAAGGGCCTTGGGCCGCCCCCCGCAGCGGCCCAGGGCCCTCGCGGATAGGTTGGTGCTTGATTCTTGGCGCAGCAATGACGCAGGGGAGCTACGGCAGCAACTGCTCGCCCTATACAGGCCGTTTGCGCACTTGGGGGAACTGCGGCATCACGGACGAACTGGTGCGAGCATTGGCCTTTGCTTGTTGCGAGTCGGTGTCAGCCGTTTTTCGCGGAATTGCGCCAAACGGGTGCTGTTATTATGTTTATGTGGTCGTTTTGTTCCTGAAAGGCGGCGCTCTTCAGTGCCCGTGGTCGCCGAGGTGCGCACGCCAGAGCGTGCTGCAAGCCGGCGCCCCCTCTGGTTTCGTCACCCGGGGCGCAGGCGGGCCCCGATCGGCGGCCTGAGCACCGCCGGCCCGCCCCATGTTGTCCAGGCGGGGGCCCCATGAACCGCGCCGGAGGGGGGTAAGCGTGCCGCCCGTGGTCCGTGTGCGTCGCCACCCGCGAGTGCGAGGCCGGCCTGCCAGGCGCCTCGGAGACGAGGGCAGGGGCCGGCACGCGGCCCGAGGTGTTGCGATCTCTCCCTCTATCTCTCTCTGTCTTAATTTCTCTCCTTATGTTTGATATGTTGCTTTTTGTCACTCACTCTCTCTCTCTCTCTCTCTCATTATCTTTGCTTTTGTTTTTCTCTCTCTCTCTCTCTCTATTTCTCTCTGTCTCTTACTATGGATACAGTTTGGCCTTACGTTTGGCCACATAGGCGCTTACAAAAGACAGGGGCCAGCAGTGGTTCGCCGCAAGCGGCTTCGATGTGGTATCGCACTTTCTGGGCTAAGGCAACTCGTCAATGAGTCGTTGCTTGATGGGCTGGCGAGGATACTTTTTGATTCGCGGCCCGCAAGGAGAAGTCCAGAGGGCGGTGTGACCGAGGCTGGGACACAGCGACAGATAATTGGCGCGACATCGCGCAGAGTGCACCTGCAGATAATTAAAGCCGCTGAGCATGTGCCAGCAGAAGAGGGCAACCGCGGTGGGGAGAGCTGAAGCCCAGGTGCCACCACGCGGACCCCGAAAGCCGCTGAGCGTGCGCCAGCATAAAAGGGCCGGGCGGAAACAGGTCGGACCCGCAGGTAGAGTACCGATTGCCAGGAGGCGCGAGGAGAGATGGGCAGCACAACCTTGGGGGAAGCGTGGCAAATCCACTCACTTGACTCCCAGTGCGTGGGCCAGCGTGCACGCGGGCCGCATACAAGCCGCCGAGGGGGTTCGGGCCACAGAACATACTTCTCCCCGCACTCCCAGACAATGCCAGGGAAAGGTTATTTCAGCCGTCCACAGGGGAGGCCCGCGGTGGCCGCAGGTACCATGACGGTGTGTTGCCTCCGCTTCTAGGAGGCACAAACTGTTGCCAGAGCCAACATCTAGCACAGACGGCAGGGCGCGCCTTTGGCCGTCGACCCTGTCCGCCGCGGGCTGGCAAGCGGCCAAACCATGAGTCCAAAAAAGCCGACCGCACTGTCTACACGCTCATGTGTATGGGGGTCAGAAGTGGTAGCCGTTCCTGCGAGCGACGACGTGGAAGTCACTGCACGTTGCCGACTCCAAAGGTTGGGGCACATGGGGGGGCCGCGGCCACCGTCCAATGCGTCCCGGCCCGCACACGACACGGGCAAAGTGACTGGGTGGAGCGTGCCGAGAAGTGCAGAGAAAACGCCTTAAGCGAGCCTGCTCGGTGCTCCACGGGCCGTCAATGCGGCCAAACCGACGACGGGACTATTTCAGCCGGCCGTACGGGCTAAAGGCCCACGAGAACGTAGGAACTATCGCGGTGGTGGGGGGTGTACCTCAACCCCAGGAGGTAACATCAGTCTGCCCCCACGGCCCACTGCCTCGGTGAAACACGTCCTGTCGCTGGCAGTGCCGACAGGTGTGGCCGCTTAGTGGGAACCCAGTGGCCATGGGGTCCACCGCAACTCTTCTTGCCGGTGTGCGGGGGACCCAGCGGTAGTCGCTCCCCTGTGGCGACGAGGAAAAGGGGGTTAGCAGCCGATAGCCGCAGGTCTTGAGTTTGAAGCAGTGGCGACGAGGAAGGGGAGTAGCAGCCGATAGCCGCAGGACAACTGATAGCAAGTGGCGACGAGAAAAGGGGGAGATGCAGCCGATAGCCGCGGAACTGGAAAGTGAAGCGAGAGGCGGGGGAGAGCGGCCAGAGCCGCAGGACGTCGTCCGAGGTGGGACCGTCCTAGGGGGAGAACAATCCCTCGGTATACGGGCGCGGCAAGTCTTCCGCGAAGGGGGTCACTCGTTGTCCCGGGAGCCCAACGCCGTGCGCCTTGGCGGCTTTTGTTAGTGTCGGCCCTGCCCTAGTCGGGGGGCCCCTGCCAGGCCAGCTGCCGGGCTACCAGCGCGCGAGTTCCCTTCCTCTCTGCCGCTTGTCAGCGTATTGCTCGTCACTTTTCGGGGCGGTCCTTTTCTCCCTGTTTCCCCACGTAGCGCCCCTCCATGAACTCTCCTGGTGGTCCCACCCTTCCCAGCGCGGCCTTGGGCGCCATGGGGCTCCAGAGCTGGATGCTCCCGACTAGGTGGTCTCCCTGTAGTCGGTGTACGCTGGCGGGGCGGCTGTGCCGGCTCTGGGCTTGCTCCACGGGTGCGGCTGCAAAGCCACGCTGTGTGTGCTAGAGGACTGGATCTGCTCGCGGTGGCTTGCCCTGTCAGGTGGGGCCGGAGGGGTGGGTACTGTCCTGCTGCTGTCGGACCAAGGGTATGGGTGGCCCTCGCTGTCTTGCCCCTTGGGTGCGCTGGTCCTTGCGCTGCGCTGTAGTAGGTTGCGATATTTCTCGGCGACCTTCTGCCATTCCGCCCAGAGATGGTGGTGCCTCACCAACTTATAGGCGTCGTAGCCCGCAGCTTCCCACGCCCGCAGGAATTCTTCGCACAGCTCCATTGTGTTCCTCTTGGGGTCCGAATGGATGCTGACCCAAGGCAGACCTGCCAGGCTGCCTGCCCTGCGGACCCAACCTGTCCACGCCCCGTTGAATGCGCCTCCGAATGTCTTCTGTAGCCTGGTGACTTTCTCTTGGGCTGGCTCGTCCCTCTGGATGTCGGCCTCGTCGATGGACCTCATGTACATGGGGAGCCCTCCCAGGGGGTCGTCTTGATGTGGAGGTGGGAGTGGCACTGCCTGTGGGCGAGGCCGTCTCTCTGGGCTGCTGTCCTGCCGGGGGCTGGGCGTCGGGAGGGTCTCGTGCGCTGGCGCTGCGAGCTCCGGGATAGACTCCTGACGGCTGTCTGGCTTGCTCCCTTTCCCTCTTAGTTTCCTGTTGTCAAGGGCTTCTTCCATGTCCTCCCGGAAGCGGGCCGTCGCGTATGGCGTCCAAGTGGCCGCTTCCTCCTTGGCGGGGGGGACTGTCCACAGCACTGTCCGCTTGTGGGAGCCATCTCTGTCGCTGGGGCCGTTGGTTTCGGTTTCCTCGGCTTGCTGCGGGGGACTGTCGACCATGGAGACGGTCCTGTCTGGTGGATTGTCCTCATCCCAGTCTACCTCGAATGGGTTGTCGCCATTACCGTGGGGGTCCTTGTCAGGGGATGGTTCATCCTTTATCTCCTTGGTCGCTTTTGTGGCTCCTGGGGGCTGCTGGCGGAGGTCATCGCCAGGGGTGCGGCCGTCCGAGGCTGGTGGGCGCTTGTGCCAGGCAGCGGCGGGGGAGTGGTCTCCGGTGTCGTTGGAGAGGATACGCGCAGCCTCCCGCTATTGAAATGGAAGGAGTTAGGGCGAAGTGGTCTGATCAAGCACCGACGCCAGAAAAAGACTGCTGAGAACGAGAAGTATAACAAAAAGGCCTCCATTGGCGGACCACGAACGCAACAACTGTAGCAGAGCCCCGCCGAAGCGAGAGGCAGCCAGAAGTGGCCACGGCAAAAGCCTGCTGCCTAGATCTGGTTGCTGGCTCCTGCGCGGAGAGGCAGACAGGGAGACAGACAGGAAGGACCACCGCTGGATGCCCCAGGCTATCTCCCTTCGATGATTCCCAGCACCCCGCACTGCGCCACCACGGGACCCCGCCCCCCCTTTTGCCCACTCCGCCGCCTCGTCCCCGACCTCCGCCCCGTCCCCGCTCCTCCTCTCGCTCACCGCGCTGAGTTCACAACGAAAACGAAGCAATGGCTCTCCGACCACCTCACTCAGAATCCACCCAAACCACCTGGCTTCTCACAGCAGGCTTGCCCGACGTCATGGGGACGTCCTCCTTCCGCCCTCCCCTGCTCGTCCCCCAAGGTTCCCTCCTCCTCGCACTCCGAGGCTCCTCGCGATGCGCCTCACCGCCTCCCTGGGCAACGTGATGGCGCTCAGGCCTGGGTCTTCGGCCTCCGCATCCTGTCGCAAAGGGAAGCGGCGGCTGTCAGCGTCGGAGTCGTCGGCGTCGTCGTCGTCAGAGGAGGAGGAGGAGGAGGAGAAGGAGGAGGAGGAAGAGGAGGAGGAGGAGGTGGGAGGGAAGAGGACGAACGAGGAGTATGAGGAGGAAGAGGAGCCAGACAAGAGGGAGGGGGAGACAAGGAGAGAGAAAGAACATGAGACGGATGAGAGCAAGAGGAGAGGATGATGCCGAGAACTGAGAACGAGGGCGACGGTGAGAAGGACGAGGAGACTGGAAAGGAGGATGAGGAGGGGGAGGAGGAGGGGCAAGATGAGGCGACGGAAGAAGATGTGGAGGGAGCGGGAGGGTGAGGATGAAGATAAAGGATAAGAGGTCGGAGTGCGGAGGAGAAAACGGAGTGGTGTTTCTACTGGTTCTCAAAAGATGATCCGGATTTCCAGGGGGCTCTTGCGGCCTCGAAAAGCAAGGGGATGGGGCGGACTGGTGTATAAGTGAAAGGGAAGGCGAAGGCGAAGGAGGAGGGGGATGGGGTAAGAAGCAGCAGCAAGGAGGAGGAGGAGGAGGAGGAGGAGGAGGATCTTTGACATCAACCGCCAATGCACGCACGGAGTAGCCCAGGCCACCCTCCTGTACCAAGGGAGCTTGGGGCCCCGCCAAAAAAATACAGAGGACCTCGCAGCAAGAGAGGCTCTCGAACCTCCACTGGGTGACACGAGCAAGCACCGAATAACAAAAGCATCACATGACAGGCCAGGGGCCAAGCTCAACGGTAACCTCTGTTCTTTTCGGATGTTTCCCTTTGCAAATGGAAGACCAGGCGCTTTTGGCTCCATTGGACTGCGGAACACCATGACACTTCCCAGACATATTCCGAGGGTGCCGTGGCTGGTGTATGCTTTACATCTCGTGCACATGATCAGCAACGCATTATCAGAGCAAGCGAGCGCTAAACAACGGTGCTCCCAAAGGACATTGGCCTTCGGGAGGCTCGGTACAGGCGCTGGTAGGCGGGGGCTCCAGACGATTCGGATCCAACGACTCTGGAGCCTTGACGCCTTTGGACACCCTGAAACAAGTTTCACACTGCCGGAAGCGTGAAACGCGCACCCAGCTGTGGGCTGGACCAGTTATTTTGGGCTGAGTGGGTTTAGCCGACCTCTCTAACGCAACCCCTTTCAGGTTCAGTCGGGGCCAAGAGGGCATCACATCACAAGAAAGATTGGCACCCGCTTTGGATACCTTCAGCACGCGGTCAAGCCATTGCGTCTCCTCGAGGTTGGGCTGAGGGTGTCTAGACAGCGTGCTCTTGGCGACAATGTCAACCAAATCATTCTCTTCCTTGAGGAAACGTTCGCGCGTGCGCAAATCCGGCGAATCGGCAACGTGGGCTCTAACCTTACAAACGCCGTCGACCACCTTGCGGTGAGTGGGAAGCAAAAAGCCCGCATAAGGTCTCTTGTAGCACAACGCTCGGACTAAAGGTTCATCCGCTTGAACATCTACGTTCTTGCAGTCGGAATAGATGGAAGAACCTCGAAGGGCGTGCATTGCGGCCACAGCGTAGGCGCCGAACTCACCTGCCTGGGCCGTTTGAGGGTACGGCGCCCAGATTGGCCCACTAAAGCGGGCGAGCTCGTTCGCCTCATCATCTACTAATACCACCCCTCAGCCAGCCCTGGATAGTTCAGGAATGGTGTGGGACATACTGGATCCGTCGACGAAGATGTGTTCCCGCAAATCTTCGAAACTAGTCTTCTCAGGGTAACCCCTCCAACGAAGCTCAACACCATGGTCATCAGGAGGAGGAAGAGGAGGAGGAGGAGGACGAGAATGAGGAGGAGGAGGAGGAGGAGGAGCAGAAGGAAGAGGAGGAAGAAAATGAGGAAGAGGAGGTGTAGGTGTAGGAGGAGGAGGAGGAGGAGGAGGAGGAGGAGGAGGAGAGAAGGGCGGGGGCGGCGAGGCGAGGCGAGCGCGGATAGCCGCTGTCGCGCCCAAAAGCGTGCGGCCGCGCGCCTCGAAGGCGTTGGGGCAGTGGGGCCGTCGCCCCTCAGGGAGAGTGGACAACCGCTCCTCTCCTCCTCCTCCTCCCTCCTCCTCCTCCCTCCTCCTCCTCCTCCTCCTCCTCCTCCTCCTCCTCCCTCCTCCCCTCCTCCTCCTCCCCCACCCCACCACCACGCACCACGCACCACGCACCACGCACCACGCACCACCCACAACCCACCACCCACCACCCACCAACCACCACCCTCCAGAGCCGAAGCTCTCTACGAATGCCGTGCACATCCTTCCAAGAGACATGTGCCTTGGCTGGCAGAGCAGATGCTGACGCCCGAGCGGGTTCCGGATTTCGACCAGCGCCAAGGCCGCATCTATACTATTATGGCCATCGCTCGGACGTCCATTCCCTGTGTTTTCTTCGGTGTCGTGCGTGGCTTTTTCGCCAGATGATCAAGGATGCTCCTCGATGGTCCTCGCCGAGGGAAAAATGCACACGTCCGAGCGATGCCAAGACCTTGGCTGGCAGAGCAGATGCTGACGCCCGAGCGGGTTCCGGATTTCGACCGGCGCCAGCCACGGCCGCATCTGTACCATGAGTTTCCGCACCATTGGTGCATCCTCGTCGGACTACTCTGGGGGTACTGTGCGAAACACCCCCACCTCGAAGATCTGTCGAGACGTCAGCATACACTGACTCCCGTTGGGCTAAAGGAGACAACCGATGCTCGATGTGATCGTAAAATCGTACGAAATCAACTGCTGCATGTACTGATTATGGGGTGTGGGCATGGGCACCGTCGGATGGAGAATCCACATCACTCTCTGGGTTAGAACTATCCGTCATGACCATCTGGCTTGTGCGTGACTGTGTTTGGGGGCATTCTGGCATGGAATCTGGCACTGGATGTTCTCGCACCGAACGTCGGCTGCTCAGTTGAGAGCGATCCGAACAACGCTGGAACCCAAAGGCTTGGGAGTACCCAGAGACTTGTCATCCAAATGCTGTTCGGACTATGCACCACCAAGTACTACAACACAATGAAGAGGTACGTATTCGACAGCGTCTGCACGCAGTTGTTCATGGACTGCTCCAATCTACTAGCTAAATGCGGACTCGACTTTGTGGCGAACTCATTCGACGCTGCAGCAACACCGTCACACTAAAAAAGGAAACTGATGCATACGTCCAGTTGTGTCGGTCAAAGTTTCACGAATCGCAAATCGTCTGTCGCGCAGCTCTCGGCGTTTCGATCTCGATATCTGAGAGAGCGTGATCCACCGCCGCTTTACTGTGGAAAAAACCTTTTCCTCCCTCGCCAACCCCCTTTTCCCTCCCCGGAACGAAAACCGGGGGGGGGGTTCGAACCCCCCCCCCCCCCCCCCCCCCGGATCCCCGGCACTACCGGTTCGAACTCACCGCCAGCAAACGACTCCCGGTCCCCACCACCGTCCGCATCACATCCCCCACTGGTGTTCCCAGCACCACTGTCCTCACCACCGCTGTCCCCACTGGTTCCACCACCGCCCCTACTGTCCCCACCAGTGGCCCCACCACTGTCGCACTGTCCCCGCTGTCCCCAGAACTGTTCCCACCACGGTTCCACTCTCCCCACTGTCTCCACGGCCCCAACCACTGCCCGACTATCCCCACTGTCCCCACTGTCCCACTGACTCCTCCGCTGTCCCACTGAGCTGTCCCACTGTTCCCACCACTGTCCCCACTGTCCCCACCACTGTCCCCACTGTACCTCTGTCCCATTGTCCCACCGCCGTCCTCGCCACCGCCTTCACCACTGTCCCCACCACCATTGTACCCTCCACTGTCCCACTGTTTCCACCTCATTCCCATTGTCCCCACACCACTGTCCCCACCACCACCGTCACCACCACTGTCCACTGTCCCCCCCTGTTCCCACCATTGTCCCCACCACTGTCCCCACCACTACCGTCCCCACCACTGTCCCACTGTCCCACTGTCCCCACCACTGTCCCGCTATCCCCTCACCACTGTCCCCACCAACACCGTCCCCACCACTGTCCGCACCCCCACTCGGTTTTCGAGGGGGGGGGGTTCGAACCGGTAGTGACCCCCCCCGGTTTTCCGGATCCGGAGGGGGGGGGGGGGGAGGGGTTCGAACCGGTAGTGACCCCCCCCCTTTTCATGATGAGCAGGGGGGGGGGGGGGGGGGGGTTCGAACCGGTAGTGAGGGGGGGGGGGGGGGGGGGGTGGGGTTCGAACCGGTAGTGACCCCCCCCGGTTTTCCGCCAGCAGCGGTAGAACACGCTCTTTCCGATATCTTTGCCCTGCTCTCTGCCGCACAAGGTTGCAAACGAGGATCGAAGGCATCGCCGGGTGGGGCCAGTTCCAGAAACAGGACACGATTGAATTGAACGCCTTCGCAAGTCGGTCGCTGATGAGCGTGGGGCTTGCTTCTCTTGTCAGTCCTGAGCCAATAGCTCGAGTCGACATCTTGAGAGGGGGGGAGAGGAAGGGAAGGGGGTCTTTGTTTATCTTCTAAGGAGCTGGCCCTGATTGTCGGTCTGACGGCTATGTTGTCGCCGTCGCCGCCTGGTCGCGGCCTCGTAGCCGCCCGTCGTCTGGGCCTGATTGTCGGTCGCCGCGCTTATTGTCGTCGGCGCCGCCCGTCGCCGCCGTCCGTCGCCTCTGCTTCTGGGCATGGCTGTCGGTCGCCGCGCTTGTTGTCGCCGTCGCCGCCCCGTCGCCGCCCGCTTGCATTGCATTGGGCCGCTTTCCATTGTTTTTTGTTTTTGCGTTCCGCCGCTATTCATTGCTTCGCATTGCCTTGCGTTGCTTTGCATTGCTCCGCGTTGCTTTGAACAACAAAGATTGCACCGCCTATCTTGCGCCAGTTAGCTTGCACAACATAAATAGCACTACATCAATTGCACCGCATTTACTGCACAACACTTAATGCACAACATGGACTGCACAACATGGGGTGCACCACACATATTGCTTCTCATAGGGCGGCAACACACAGAGCGCACCACACAGATTGCCCAACATATCCGCCACCGTGCCTCTGGCACGAAGTGGAGTGCCCCAAGGCTCACGCAACCCTGAGAGGTACAAGATTTTTAGGCTTCTTCAGGGCCCGGACCCCCGGTGTCCCGAGCGCTCCTGGGCGCCACCCGGCGCTCTCGGGCGCTTCCGGGGTCTTTCGCGCAGGCATCTGGGACGGTCCCCTCGCCCAGGGGGGGCCCCAGAACGGGCCAAGAAAGCCCCAGGAAGCCGCCCAGACGGTCCAGGAGGGCACAAAATCGCCAAAAGATCGCTCCGAGACCACCAAGAGGCCGCCAAGAGGCCTCGAAGCCCACGAGGCCTCCAAGGGCACTCCCAAGAGGGCTCCAAGAGGCAAAAACCATTGATTGTCCAGAGATTGTTGAATTATTTTGGCGTTCCGCCTTCGAAACCGCCCTTGCTTTACTTCTGACGACTTCTGTGGGCCTTCCACCGATGGCGAGGGATCAGCCCCTCAATTTCTTGGAAACGAGGCCCTACCTAGGATACCACGTGGCGGCGGGCAGAGAGGTAGAAGCGAGTGGAGGGGAGGCAGAAGTCAGAAGGCTCCCTCCCCTCACATCCCCCTCCCTTCTCCATCCTCCATCGTCATCCCTCCCTCCTCCTCCTCCTCCACATCATCCTGGATGTCCTTCTGTTGTTCAGAAGCCTCCGAAACCTCTACCTCCTCTTCTCCCCTTCTCCCACATCTTCCCTCCTTCCCCTCCGCTGTTCCTCCCCCCTTCCTCTTCGCACTCCTCCAGCAAGGGAGGACAGAGGGATGGAGGAGAAGGCAGGAAGGGATGCACCCCACACGCGCGTGCGCGTCCTACGCCCCCTGGACCACCATGGTGCTCATGAACATGCCCACTCACCAATGAAGCACCAGGGCCGCCGAAGGGGCAGGAACACTCAGCACCCGCTCCCCTCAGGATCCCATCTCCTCACCATCTGTGCTGTGAGATGCTGGCAAGTCCTTCGCCGGCTCCCCCGCCGCAGCCGCCTCGGCGCCCGGAGCGTCCAGCGACTCCGCGCCAGCGGCGAAGGTATGCCCCGCGGGCGCCATCGCCCCGGCCATCGCTCCCGCCGTCCGCCTGCAACGGCCCAGGCCCGGCCGATCCTTCCAGACTCGCGAGCGGCAACCATCGCCGTGCTTACTCTAGTAGTGGAAACAATTGGTTTTCAAAATGTTTGGTCTTGAGAAGCTCTGCGTGGCGACGCCCCCGTCGCCACGCGTGCCCTCTGCGTGCCTGAGGGGACGCCGCCACGTAGAAGTACTGGAGACCAAGCATTTGGGGCGTCGCTAAGCACGCCCTCTGCGTGGCTGCGACCATTTGTTAAAACCCTAAAACCAAGTAAATTCACGAATAGAGTATCCGTGCCCTCGCGGCCTGGGAGCGATCCCGTGGGTGCGCGGTCGCCCGGATGCGTTCCGCGAGGGGCAGCCGCGACGAAAAGTCCGCGTATCCATGGGGTCGCGGCCCAGGGGCCCGGTCCACGAGGCCAGAGATGTGGACATTTGTTTTATATTTATATATATACATATATATATATATATATATATATATTCAAAAAATGTTCGGTCTATTTTGTTAGTGCTTTCTTTTTTTACGGAAGACCCCTTGTTGGAGGTTCCTAGGTGTTCTTGAGACGTGCCCTGCTCAAACCGTCGGCGGCCTCTGCAGCCTCCAGAGGCCTCCGGGCACCGCTGATAGCTCCGAGGTCCTCCAGAGGCCTCCTGCTGGAGGAGAAGGAAAGTCGATGAGTCAAGATCGGCGGCGACGATAATCGGGTCGGGCGAAAGGGGGGGATAGCAAAGGAGGGGGTTGAGGATCAGCTTACGTAGCTGATTTTCCCGGCGCCTCCCGGCGCCGGAGGCGGCCATGTATCGAGGAATGTGCCTCTCGGTGAGGCCGAAACCAGCTGCATGCAGCGGATTTCGTAACCTCCCCTTTCCCAATCCCCCCCTTTCGTCCGGCCCGAGATAAGGGCGAATAGCCCAGGGGCGGACATTACACGCATTCGCCGGGGAGCCTCGCCGAAGACAAAGATCATCGGCGCCCCTGGCTACATGTATTGCTCCCCCCCTGGGCTATTCGCCCCTATCGTCGCCTCTGACAAGATGGTGAGCAGGTCCCGCCTGCGAGAACCTCCCCAAGAGCGCCCGCTCACCCTCTACAGCGGGAGACAGCGGGGTGAATATGTTCCACATCACTCCTCGGATGCCAACGATGCCAGGTTCATAGAAAGCAAAACGACTGCTCTCCCTAAAAAGATGCAAGGCCCGAGCACAGCGATGTTTAAAACGCGCTGGCGTTTAGAACGAAAAACAAGTCGAACCCGACTGTTGTGCAACGAACGATTACAAACGAAACTGGTGCAAACGAAAACGGAAAACGAAACGAGCCCACCGCTCATCGAGAAAACAAAACAAAAAACAAAATGAACTTAGCAGACCACGCTGGAATCAACACGAACAACGAAACGAATACATGGGACAACAGCTGCGGCCAGGGCGACGTTCTGGCGGGGGCTTGAACCAGACAAAACGACAAAACAAAACACACGAAACAACAAAACGAAAAACGCACCGGAGCTGCAGAGAGGGCTGCAGGGCCGGGGATAGGGCGAGGGGCGAGGTCCCGTTTGAGGCGCGCGCGAAAACAAACGAAACATGTAACGAACAAACAACTCGGGCTGCGGCGACGGCTAGGGCCTGGGGGTCCAGCGAATGTCGCGGTTTTGGGTTGGGCTTGAGCAAATCAAAACGAAAAACGAACTCGGCCTGCGGTTACGATTGAGGGCTAGGCTAAGACGGGGGGGAGGTGCCGGTTGGGGCATCCGCTAAAACAAACGAAGAACAAAACGAAGCACAAACGAAGACATGGAACGACGGCTGGGGCCAAGGCGAGGTTAGGGCTGGGGCTTGAACCAGACAAAACGACAAAACAAAACACACGAACAACAAAACGAAAAACCAACCAGGGCTGCAGCGAGGGCTACAGGGCCGAGGCTAGGGCGAGGGGCGAGGTCCCGTTTGAGGCGCGCGCGAAAATAAACGAAAAACGAAACAACGAAAAACAAACGCAGGCTACGGCGACGGCTAGGGCCTGGGGGTCCAGCGAATGTCGAACTTCTTGGTTGGGCTTGAGCAGAACCAAACGACAAACGACCCGAAAAAAGCAAACTCGGGCAGCGGCGACGGTTGGGGCCTGGGGAGCCCAACGAATGTCAAAATTTTGGATTGGGCTTGAGTAAAACGAAACGGAAAACTAACTCGGCCTAGCCTGAGCCTCAAACTAGCCGAAGCTCCAGCCTAAGCCGAAGCCTCATCCTAGCCTAACCTAAGGATTCCCCAGGGATTGCTTAGGATACCCTAAGGATTGTTTAAGATTCTCTTGCAATTCCTACGGATTCCCTCGGGATTCCTGAGGATTCCACAAGGATTCCTCAGGAAGCACTGGGGATTCCTGAGGCTTCCCGATGGACTCCCAAGGGTCCCCGGTGGATTCTTAAGGATTCCCTCGGGATCCCAACGGATTCCCAACTGATTCCTCAAAGTTCCCGAAGGATTCTTAAGGATTTCCCGGGGATTCCTCAAGATTCCCGAAAGGTTCCTCGGCATCCCCGAAGGATTCCAAAGAATCCCCTTTGATTCCTGAAAGAATCCGAAGGCTCCCCGATCCCCTAGGGATCCTTACGGATTCCCTAAGGAACCCTAGAAGGGATCCCTGGGGAGTCCGAAGGGTTCCCATCAGAATTCCCAAGGGTTCCATCGGGATTCTAAGGACTCCCGACGGATTCAAAAAGATTGCCTTCGGATTCCTTAGGATCCCCCATGGAGTCTTAAGGATTCCTTCGCTTCTGGGCGAAGCGACGTCGCCAACATGGGGCCGTACACTGTGAAACAGCACGCGGGTGACACGCGCCACCCCGAAAACAGTGTGAGAAAAAACAACTATTTCACTCGTATTCTGGACGCCAACAAGAAGACATACAGGGTGAAACAACACGCGGGTGGCACGCGTCACCCCGAAAACCGCGTGCGAAAAAACAATTGTCTCACTCGTATTCTGGACGCCAACATGGGGCCATACAGTGTGAAACAACACGCGGGTGACACGCGACACCCCGAACAACGTGAGAAAAACCAATTGTGCTACTCGTATTCTGGACGCCACAGTGTGAAACAACACGCGGGTGACACGCGTCACCCCGAAAACCGTGTGCGAAAAAAACACAGCTTCACCCGTATGCTGGACGCCAACATGAGGCCATATAGGGTGGAACAACACGCGGCTGACACGCGTCACCCCGAAAACCGTGTGAGAACGGAAACATGTGTCTCACCCGTCTTCTGGAAGCCAACATGGGGCCATAGTGTGAAAAAAACGCGGGTGACACGTGTCACCCCGAACACCGTGTGAGAAAAAACAACTGAGTCAGTCATACTGGTCGCCAACATGGGGCCATAGATGGTGAAACAACACGCGGGTGGCACGTGTCACCCCGAAAACCGCGTGCGAAAAAAACAACTGTCTCACTCGTATTCTGGACGCCAACATGGGCCGGTATAGGGTGAAACAACACGCGGGTGACACGCGTCACCGCGAAAACCGTGTGAGAAAAAACCATGTGTTCACCCGTATTCTCGACGCCAGCATGAAGCAAAACAAGGTGACACAACACGCGGGTGACACGCGTCTCCTCGAAAACCGTGTGAGAAAAAAAACAAATGTGCCACTCGTATTCTGGACGCCAGCATGGGGTCGTACAATGTGAACAAAAACGCGGGTGACACGCGTCACCCCGAAAACCGTGTGAGAAAAAAACATATGTTTTATTCGCATTCTAGTCGCCAACATGGGGCCATACAGTGTGAAGCAACACGCGGCTGACACGTGTCACCCCGAAAACCGCGTGAGAAAACGCAATAATTCCACTCGCATTCTGGACGCCAACACGGGGCCGTACACTGTGGATCACCACGCGGGTGGCACGTGTCATGTGAAAGCCGTGTGAGAAAAAAAAACTGTCTCACTCGTAGTCAGGTCGCCAACATGGGGCCAAACAGTGTGAAACAACACGCGGGTGACATGTGTCATCCCGAATACCGCGTGACAAACAAACTTGTTTCAAACGTATTCTGGACGCCAACATGGGGCCATACAATGTGAAACGACACTCGGGTGACACGAATCACCCCGAAAACCGGGTGAGAAAAAAAGCATCGCGCGTTTCACTCGTTTCGTGGACGCCAACGTGGTGCCACGCAATGTGAAACAACACACGGGTGACACGTGTCACCCCGAAAACTGGGTGAAGAAAAACCAACTGTTTCACTCGCATTATGGTCGCCACGCCCGGTCGTAGCAACGACGACGACGACGAACGCCGCGCTGCGGATGCACCACGGGGAGGGGGCGCGTGCTGCGCGGGCCCGCGGTAGCAACGACGCCACGACGACGACGACGACGAATGCCGACGAACGCCGCGCTGCGAATGCACCATGAGAGGGGGGAGGGGGGCTGCGCGGGCCCGCCGTGGCAACGACGCGCGACGGCGACGACGACGACGACGACGACGACGACGACGACGACTACGACGACGACGACGGCTGACGGCTGACGGCTAACGGCTGACGGCGACGACGACGACGACGACGACGAACGACGGCGAGCTGCCCAGCTTGTGGCATAGGGCGCGCAGCTGGGAGGACCTGGGAAGTGGGAGGTGGGAGGAAGCTGGGGGACTTGAGAGCAGGCGGGGGGAGGCATGGGGAGGCGGGGGGGGGGACAGGGGAGGTGGGAGGAGGTTGGAGGAGGTTGGAAGAGAAGGAGGAGGAGGAGGAGGAGGAGGAGGAGGAGAAGGAGGAGGTGGGGGAGTATGAGGAGAAGGAACAATAGGAGGGAGCACGAGGTAGGAGGAGATGGGAGGACGTGGGAAGAGGTGGGAGGACGTTGGAAGACTCGGGGGGGGGGAAACGTTGGAAGAGGGGGGGTGGGAGGAACACATTCAAACGCACTGCGCGCAGGGGCCACAGGACTCAGATCCACCGCCGTGCCTGCACGGCAGAGG